GGGAAAGAGCCGTACCATTGAATATCTAGACTTGATCATCCTGCTTTTGGCTGAGAGACAGGTAACCTACCACTTCTGGCAGCTGCTAAGGTATGTCTTGTTTGGAGTCATTTGGCAACAGGGTTATTGACAATTAAGATAATGGTTTTGCTCAGGCCACCAGCTCCCTCTAGGATTATTGAGGTGCAGCTTCTCTGCCATCAGCCTCTGTTAGTGCTGCTGCCTGAGCATCTCCCTTCCTCCCTGTCCTTCCTCTATTTCCTTCTCTTTTTCCTTCCTTCTCTTTGTTCCTCTCCCCCTTTTTCTTTCCCTTGTTCTAACTCCCTTTTCTCCCTGTGAGCCAACTCTTCTCTAGGCCTGTGCTATAGCCCTACCCTCTTACCTATAACTTTAAGGACTGAAAACAAAGGACAATAGGAGATTAAACTATCAGAAACTGTTAGTCTGACAATTGTATCTTCCATAAATACATTTTATACTTAACAATGTCCTTTTAAATACGTTATTTCATTTAATTTTCAGACAACCCTGTGAGGAAGGTGTTACCATCCCGGTTTTGTATAGGAAGAAATTGAAAGGATGGGAAAGAAAAACAGATATTTTTGTGTGCCCATTGTGTGTCAGGTACCACTAGGAACTTTTAGTGATTTGCCCATGATTACAGTTAAGAGATAGAGAATACATTTGACCCTGAGTCATTTAATGAACTTTATGTGCGCAATGGATATTCTGAACACTAGTTGAATAAATGTCACCTAGACATTTTTCTTTTTTCTTTTCCAGTATCTACCACAAGCCTAAGTGGGTCTGACAGCGAAACTGAGGGGAAGCAACGCAGCTCTGACTCTTTCGACGATGTATTCAAAGCAAACTCCCTTGTGGAGGGAACGTCCTCGCGCTATTCCATGTATAATAGCGTCTCCCAGAAGCTTATGGTATGTCAACGCTTGGGTTGAGTTTCTAAAGATCTACTAGCAGAATGAGAGAAGGGAACTTGTAAAGGTGTGAAAAGAAGGAAAGCTAGGGCATGAGTTTTTACTTCGTTTTTTAGCTACCGAAATGTATTGGAGAGAGTGTGACGCCTTCTTGATAGAAATATCTATCACATTTGAATCGTCTGTGGAAAGTGGCTGCTCAGGCCTGCTTCTCCTGTCCTGAGCTGGATCACCCTTTGGTCTTCTTAGTAATTAATTCTTATTATGAGCACATGTGAACATACTTTGCTATACCTGGATGTGTGTCAGTGGGTAAAGCAGCTTTATGCTGTGAATTTTTGTTTTAGTGAATGATGTCAAAAGAAAAGACTAAAATCCTGCTCACTCTCAGGTGCCTAAAATAAGTGGGAGTAGTAAAGTCTTCTGTATTGCCTCCAAAAGATAGCCCATTTCTCCTCCCCAGCTTCCATACCCCACTGATATACAAGAGGGAAGGTAAATAGGAAGACTTGCTTACTTTCCTCATCAAACTTTATTGTATATGCAAAGGTTAGAGAAATCCAAGTCTGCCTTCTGTCTAGCTTCAGGAATATTATAGCTCATTCCTCCATTTTTCTGTTGGATTCATTTAAAAATGGGAACTGCCACTTCTGAAGTCATAGGATTCTGGTTTGGGGGCCATGAAATTTGGGGACATGGAAGATGGGGAGGTTTGTGACTCAGTCAGCCTTTTTGACTGGGGGAAGGATTGTGGCTACTGTAGGAATCCCATCCAGCTCTTGAGCTGGTAATGCTGCTTCCATAGGGAGTACAGACCCTTGAGGGGAAATTAAATCCTTTTAGGATTGGAATTTTTTATTAGATAAGGATCTGTGGGGTTTGGGATTTGGGTTTCTGATTTTTGGGGTATGTAACTGGGCCCAGTAACTCCAGAGTTCAGCATGAGCTTATAGACAGTTGCAATGTTAAAAAAAAATGATTCTGTCCAGGATCTTCTAGTACCTTCCATACTTGAGTTTTACATAAAGCGGTTTTTTGGTTAACCTCTTGATTTGGGCTCCTATAGGCCTGATAAGGCTGTTTGACTGAGAGTAAGGTAGAAGTTACTGTTTGAAGCGGTTCCATTTTAAATCATGGTCTCTCTATCAACTGCACTGTAGATCTATTTCTCACTTAATCAGACACATTAGCTGGAAGGGTAGTTGTGCAAATGTCTAATCAGATTCATTTGGTACTCTTGGTACACTTAATTATAGCTGTGAGGTCCTTTCTCATTTATCCAACTTCTGGTTGCCCTAGACTTTCACCTCCAGAATAGATAGCCACTGGGCCCAAAGTTAAACTGCAGTTATTTATGCTTCTTTTCTTTATTAGGCTAGAAGGAAAACTTTAGGCCTTACTCCTCTCTATTTCGTAGGGTTTAGCACAATTTCTGGCACATGATAGGGGTTAAATAAATGTTTATTTATATAAATGCTCCATTATTATCTGTTTGTTTATACAAATGCTCCATTACTTCTTTCTTTCAGGCCAAGATGGGCTTCAGGGAAGGCGAAGGATTGGGTAAATACAGCCAGGGTCGGAAGGACATTGTTGAGGCCTCTAGTCAGAAAGGTCGAAGAGGCTTGGGTCTGACGTTGCAAGGCTTTGACCAGGAGTTGAACGTGGACTGGCGAGATGAGCCAGAGGTAACTGGTGTTGGGAGGAGGAGGGCAGTAAAGCCACTTAAATTTTTGGATGCATACTTTTAAATAGTCATATTAACAAACTAGAAGTCTCCAGAGGGAGTATGAACAGGGTGGTTAGTGGGGGTTGAACTAGTTTCTTACCTGAAAGGTCCTGGAGATATCCGTAATAGAAAATAGAAGACTTGGCGTGGGAGGCGGGGGGATATTGAAAGGATATGAATTTGTTTCCTGTTGCTTCATATAGTACTATCTAAGACCAGTGGGTAGAAGATGCTGGAAGGCTGAGTTTTTCTCCACAAAGAACTTTAATAAATAGATACAGCTTTCCGCTAGTGATTAAGATACTTCACAAGGTAGTGTTTTCCCTCTGCTGAAAGAATTCAGTGAGGGCCCAGTCTCCCACTGTGTGAGTGACTAGATTAGGTGCCCTCTAAGGTCCTTGCACCTCCACACGTTTATGACATCCTGGTTCTAAACAGGTGTTTGTTTATGCCTTATGGCTTTTTTTTTTTATCGTGGATTTAGTTTGCTTACCTACTTGGGTACCAGTTTGTTTTAACCTTGAATATCAAAAGAGACTTTTATTCCTTTTCATGGTACAGATAATGTTGAGATTTTATTTTTATTCATTTATTTATGTCTTGCATTATTCCATAAAGGTGTAATAAAAGCACCTAAAAATAATGATGAAATATTATCATTATAGAGTTGAAACAAGAGAAAATAGAACACAAATGTCTACTCTTCTACATAGTTGCTGTAATTTAGCTTCAGATGTGGCTCTGAACTCTGGAAAATTGATATTTTATTTGTCTCGCTGATGTTCCAGTTCAGGAAAAACTCCCATGAACCTGTGCATTATAAAAACCTAATAAGGCTTCAGAGTAAGATGCTGACAAGGCAAGAGCTAATGGGTTCTGGGGTGGTCCTGCTGTGTTGCCTTGTAGTTGTGAGGCGATGAGACCAGCAGAATAATAGATGAGACAGTGCAGAATAGGATAAATATTTGAAATTGGGAGCTAGATGTAGGTTTTTACCTTGGAAATACTTGGTGCTTTACATGTCCTCATTTGTGAAAATGAGTCCCGATCCTCCCAGTGGGGCAGAATTAGAACTAAGTTTGCTAAACTCAGAATATAAAATTTGCCCATAAAATCTTTGCTTTTAATGGAGACAGCCTATTGAAATTCTTTTTTGAGGCAAAGCTGTCCTAATTACCATCTACCATAATTCAGTTTTTTTTCTTACAAAAGATGCCCTATTTTTTGGTTGAGAGTTTAGCTTAACTATCAGATGGTGGCCACTCTTTAAGGTAGATGAGTCTGGGTGGCTTGGAGTCACTGGAGGGAGAGTGCTTAGTGACTGCTGCAGCCCAGGAATGTAGAGTGCAAGGTTGCAGGTAGCCATAATGTTCAGACTTCCATGGGGAGATTGAGGCTGCTTTTTCTCTCTAAAGGCATCCAAAGTGTGTATGAGCTTTTTCTTTTTCTTCCCCTTTTTTTTTGAAGAGTTCATAAATCACAACCATTTATGCTTAAAGGTGGTGGATTTGAACAAGGGGCGAAGCCACGATTCACTGCCAGATTCATTGACAAAAGCTGCAGTGATTTTTCTTTTAAACTTTCCTCTGTCGATGGTAGTTGCCTGCCCTCGAGACCTTGCATTGTGATACCATTTTATGCCTTTCAGAGCATGTAATATTACCTTTAACCACATTGCTTCAATTTGCAATGGTGAATTTCTTCTCTACACTTGCTCAGGAGGGAATGTGTAAAGCTGCCATGCAGGTTAACCACCTGTTTAGGTTTCATAATCCTGTCTCGCTAGCCTGGTGAACTTAGCCCCAGCTGTACATTAGAATCATTTTGGGACTTGTAAAAACATACTTATAGTCAGTCGCCACCTAAGACCAATAGAACCACACACTCTGAGTGTGGAGCCCAGGCATCAGTACTTTTTAAAAGGACTGCAGATGATCCTAATGTATAGCCAGGATGAAAACCACTGTTTTAACTTGAGAGGAAAGTAATTGAAAAATTAAGAGCAAGTGGTATTAGAGATGCCAGTTTCTGCTCTGTCTTGGAATGAATAGGTGAGGAATCCTATTTATTTTGTGAATAACACTTTGAAAGGCATCAAGAGGTGAGGCTCATTGCATTGAGTCTTCCTGATGTAATTACCTTATCACAGACACATATCCTATGTGTACTTCTCTGTATTCCCTCTGCTCTGATTGTAAACCTCTTGAGTCAGGGACCATATCTTTTTAACTCTGCATTCTTAGTACCTAGCCCATATTCATCAAAAAATACTGGAACAAGTGAAAGACTTTGAAGGTTTGGGAAGTTTGTAGGTATTCAAACCAGAATGAAACCTGGCCTTCAGAAGTTAGACTTCAGAATTCTGGCTCTCAATTCTTATATCTGACCACTGCATATAGCCTCAGCTTCCTGGACCCTTCCCACTTTCTCTGAGTCTCTCTTGATTGTTTTGGTGAAGCCCTGAGGTATAGCGCTAAGGGTCTGTCTAACCTGACTTACTTGCCTCTCTGTTGTTTGTAGCCCAGTGCCTGTGAGCAGGTGTCATGGTTCCCAGAATGCACCACTGAAATTCCTGACACTCAGGAAATGAGCGATTGGATGGTTGTGGGAAAGGTAGGATTTCAGAAGAATGTACCCTGAATTGTTGGCACTTATCTCCTAACTTTTCTTCTCCTCGCGTCCAGTATGTATGTTTGTATACTCGTGTGTAAAATGTGAATCTGACCATTCTGGCAAGAATGAAGCTGTGTCAAGAGGATGTGTCCAGGGTTTTACAGATATGCCTCTGGGAGATGTAGCAGGCAGGGTTTTTTTTCTTTTCATCATTGAACTTGCAAAACAACTCAAAATGCATAGTTTTTGTCTCCCTCAAGATGCTTTTTAGAATAGCTTATTATACATCTGTATATTCTGGTCACTTCTGGGCATGTTCTAGGTGGATGAAAAGACATCGTACCTGTCCTCGGAAAGTAATGAGGCAGTTGTTACAGAGGGAATTTGTTAATCTCTTTCTGGAAAACTATAAGGATAAGGTAGATAGCTACCACATCAGTATGGTCTAGAGAGTAGTTCTCAAAGTGTAGGGGGCCCCAGGGATCTCCAGAACACTTTCAGGGAGGTCTACAAGGTCAAAATTATTTTCATAATGATACTGAAAAATTATTTGCCTTTTTAATTCTCAGTCTTTCACAAGCCCAGTGGCGTTTTCCAGAGGCTATGGCATGTGATGTCACAACCAATAGATTGTAAATGCAGACAGGAGAATCTAGCCGTCTCCTATTATGTCAGATATTAAGAGATTTACAAAAATGGAACAGTGCCATTCTTCTCACTAAATTTTTTTTGGAAATATAGTTATTTTTCATAAAAATGTTATGTTAACATAACATTGTTCTTTTAAAGTGAATAAATATTTTTAAAGTTTCCATTTCTAATCATAAATCTCAAGATATATATGTATAGCCCACATAAATAAAAGCTTATTGGGGTTTTTGGTGATTTTAAAACCTGAGAATACCAAGTTTGAGCAGTGTTGGTTTAGAGGTAGCCTCACTTGCGCATGAGGTTGGACTTAACATCCCTGTGGGGCTCCCTCAAGCCCTTGGTTTCTATGACACTATCAGATCAGTGCCTGGTGTCCTGTCTGCATTCATACTCATCACAGAGCAGGAGGGTTCCCAGTTGAAGGACAGGCTTCTGTCATTTGGGGTAGTCCCTATCCTTCTGCTTCTATGCCCCAGGGACAGTTTGAATGTTTCCTTCCTGTTTGCTTTTCGCAGCCTCAGCATTTATGAGTCTTGATCCATATGGTGCTCTAGTCAGAGCACCAAGGGGGCTGCTTCATGTCGTAGCCATCTGGAATATAGCCAGAGGGATTTAGGATTTTCTTATACTCGCCCCTCAGAGATTGATGTTCTTTGGCAGGTACTCAAGCCCCTTCTTGCTCTACTCACTCAAAACCCTAGTTTCTCCATCTCCCAAGTGCAGCCCCATGTGGTCATTATTGATTGTTTCTTCTCCCTGTAGAGAAAGATGATTATTGAAGATGAAACAGAGTTTTGTGGGGAAGACCTGCTTCACAGTATGCTGCAGTGTAAGGTAAGGCCTTGTGGCTAGAGCTGGAGTTGCAAACTTTGTGTGAGGGGCTTTGCTGGGCTTTTCCAGTTCTCTTGAGCCAGTTGTAGGGGGCTGAGATTTAGCTAATAATATTTTTCCTGGACATTAGATGCATAGCTTGTACATTTCTTCAAGGTGTACTTTTTCCTGGTGACTGTTCTGCCTTGTACTGTTGGGCTGTCCGTGTGGTCAGTAGCCAGGAAAAGATCCACCTGACCTCTTTGGGTCGGTTCATTGTAATCCTGAGGGAGCCTGGTGTAATGAAAGGTTTGCAATCATTCTTAGCATCAGATAGACCTGAATTCAAATCCTAGGTTTGTAACTTTTTTTTGCTGTGTGACCTTGGGCCAGTTGCTTTAGCTTCTCTGAGTTTCCTCATCTATAAGATGGGGAGAAAATACTTCCCAGGGTTGCTGTGTGAATTAAATGAAATAGTGGGTGGTCCAAGGGTCCTAATTCGCTGGGTGAATGTCAGCCTGCCCTTGATTTCTTGTGGCCTGATTTTGGGGCATGAAGTGCATTGCCTGCGGCAGAACGAGCCAAGGAAACAGGAGGAAATGGGTTGAAGAAGCTGCAGGGCCTCAGACCAGCCTCATAGAGCTTTTTTTTTTTTTTGCATTCAGAAGGTTGGGAATATCCTTACAGTGACTGGTACTCATGTGAAATGAGGCTTTTTTATTTCAGAGAAAATTGGAGAAGAAAGGATCCCTACTGTGTGGCAGGTACCATCAGAAAACCCTGGTTGTGGTTTATTTATCTTCTCTCTGAATGAGCTCCAGTTGAGTGAGCCTTAGTATCAGAACTTTGGTCCCTTGGAAAGTTGCTGCTGCAGTGGAGAAACAGATTTGCTATGAAGATTAGCAATGCCAAAACATGACCCCGTGTATAATTATTGATGCCATTTATTAACCACTTACCATGTGCCAAGGATGTGCTTATACATATATATATTATTTTTTAACATTTTACAGGTGACATAGTTGAAGGTCAGAGTGAGCAACTTGGGTAGGGTCACACAACTGGGCATTTTAGAGCTGGGGTGCAGCAGGAGCCTTGCTCTTCAGAGGGCTGTGAGTTGCTCTCCTCAGGCTTTTAAGGGCCCTGTCCCATCATGAAGGGTGATGTTCACCTTGAGTTCTGATTTTCTCTGGGCAGAGTGTGTTTGATGTCTTGGATGGGGAGGAGATGCGGCGAGCTCGGACCCGGGCCAATCCCTACGAGATGATCCGAGGAGTCTTCTTCCTAAATAGGTTTGCTGACATTTCCCTCCCCTCTCCTGACATGGACCGTTTCACCTTTTCTTTGAGCCTCAGTTTTCATACGTCTGGTACTGAGTTGCACTTCTCTGTCTTGCTTCGTTGCAGGGCAGCAATGAAGATGGCTAACATGGATTTTGTGTTTGATCGCATTTTTACAAATCCGCGGGACTCATGTGGGGTGAGAACAAGATTCTTCTGAATTCATAGTGTTAAATGGGCTTAAGCTTCAGTGTCTCAGAAGTTGCCACTTGTGCAATGAAATTTTTACTGCTATGTGTTAGAGATATATTTTATGATAGAGATATACTTTGCTTTGAGCTCCTCAGATAGAATCCCACAGTGCTTCCTGTGGTCCCAAGAGTGCCCCAGTAAGTGTTGTCTCTAGGGCTTCAGGCCCAAAATCCCAGCCCCTAACTCTACAGATCCTGTTGCTCACTCCAGGTGGAGGCAGGCAGGGCTTACAGCAAGGGAGAAGGGACATTCCTGGGCAAAATCAGCAGCTGTGGCTTCTGTAGGCAGCAAGAAGGTGAAGCCACGAGTTAGAGCATTGGCCCTCCTCCTCTATTCATGAAACATGTGTTTGTCCAGCCCCTACTTTGTGCCAGGCACAGTGCTAGGCACTGGGAATATAATTTTGAATGAGATAGATGTGATTCCTTTCCCCATGGTGCTTAGGTTCTAGACTTGAGAGCTGGTAAGGGTTCAAGGTTGGGATGTTTGTAAAGCCTTTCTGTGCTCATTGGTGTGTGGAGGCCAGCTGTCATCAGGGAGTGTTAGCCTGCCTTCTTTCTATTATAGATAAGAGTAGAAAGATGAGTATACACAGTCCTTACAATTAGCTTATTTTCCAATTTGAAACTTGTGACATCATCTGATTTGGGTACTGCTTCTCATATGAGAGAGCAGTACTCCGGGAAATGTTTGAGAGTTGAGTGAAATGTGAGCATCTTGATCCTTTCACTGGTCTATTTAAAATCAGTATCATGTCTGAGAATCTAGGTTCTGTTGTTCAGTGAGAGGCAGGGAGTGTAGCACTTAGGATGTCACTTAAGTTCATACTGTCTTTAGGTCTCAGTTGCCTCATCTCTGATATTAGCCCTGTTAACCTGCCAGGGCCAGGGTAGGACCCAAAGGTTCTTAAGAGTCATTCTGGCTTTAAGATCTGTGATTTCAGATGTGGCTACTTTTCCTTTTTGCCTCTCTGAACAAGCTTTGCGTGGGACCATAGTTATTAGGCTTTAGCCCTTGCGAAGTGGTAGAGCAACATGATTTTCTACTGTGCTGCATCTCATTTCTCTGAACACAGACCCCCCACGATGATAGGAAAGAATAAAGGAAATTTCATTCTAGCATTAGGTTCAGTGTTTCAAAGCATTATTACCTAGTTTTAGAAAGGTAGTTCTCTTTGACAGTGAACGGGCCAGGACCAGCTGTTCACAAACCTTTTTCTGCTTCAGTCACCCTCCTTCCACTAGGCCCTCTGATTATCCACTCACTACAGAAACTTCTTTTCCAAGTTCTTTATGTTTCAGCTCCACCTACCTAATTCTCTATGCTGGCAAAACTGGCATGTAGACCCCTCCAGCCTTTAGTTATTTCTCTCTCCCGGGTGTCTCTCCCCATTTTCCAGTACCTGTGGGCAGCACAAAAGGGCTCTTGGAATTAGCATCTTGAGAAAATTAGGTTGATACAATGTTGATTTAATTTTCTGAGCTCCAAATGATTTCCTTTAGACCCCTGCTTGGCAGAGGAGCTCTGTCTAGCTGATGGGAAGTCATTTTGGGCTTTTGAGTGAAAACGCTTGCAGTATCTAGTATCTGATGATGGTCTTTTGCTGTCGGGAAAATGAAGTAGGCAGCAGGGTTGTACCATTCAGGTCGAGGGTGGAGATGTTAGTTACATAGGAAAAGGCAGCCGTGTTTGTAATGCTTCAGGCTGCTTCTTGACCAGAATTGATTGTTAGTGGCGGTGGAGAATTGCCCTTTCAAAGATGTTTCTCTACACTGCAGCCCCTAGTGTTTTCTCCTCTCTTTTCATCTCTGCTTTCCCCCGAGACCCAGAGTGACAGCCAAGGCCAGCAGGCTTAGCGTGTTTTTCTAGAGCAGAGATGCTCTAGAGCAGTTCCCAGGGGAGATGAGAGTGGCTGAAATCCCAGGCACATACCCGGGTTGGCTATAGTCTCGGTGGCTCTTGGGACAGGGAAATCTCAGAATAAGTGTGGAGAACTTGAAGCTTGGGAGTGGAGAAATTGGAGGTGGTGGTGGTGGGGCCCGACTCAGGTTTTTCCATGTGTTTCTGGTATCCCAGGTTGTGGTAAAAGAAAAGAGACTAGGGCAGGGAAATAAAGAAATTGTAAACAAAAATTGGAAGAGACAGGGAAAGAAGGGAGTTTAGATTCTTTGGGTATATGGAAGTATATTATAAACCATAACATGAGGGATTTGTGTGCCTGGGGATATTGTTCAGATAAGAAAACGTTGTTTTGAAGTGTAACAGGAGATAAAAACTGAATGTAGATTTTTAAGTTTCAGTGCTATCTTGGAGGAAATTAGACAGCACTTACGAAGTGCTCACTGAATGTGAGGTACTTGTACTAGGCATTGGGAAGAGAAAAAGATGGAAAAGGACAAGAGTTTTAACTCTAAGGTAGTTAATCTAGTTGAATATAATATCTTACATTTGCTTAGTATTTTACAGTTTATAAAGTTTTTTGACATAAGGAATTTATTTACTTCTATAACAGTCTTGAGAAATAACCTACATTAGTCCCAATATACAGTCGAAGAAGCTTGAGCTTAAAGATGTAAGTCGTGTGCTTGTCCTTGACTGCACAGCCTGTAGGTGGCAGAAGTGAGAACCCTAGGTGTCCTTTCAATGAAAATACCTGGCCATGGCCTGTGGGGGCCACACATCTTGAAATCACAAATGAGATCGTATTTGTGCCCTCTTTTTGGAGGTGAGATACTTTGACCGACTCATTCCCTGTCCTCCTTTGGGCCAGCAGCTCACTGGAAGAGGCTGGAGCCTGGGGCCAGGGCTCTGCTGCTGTGAGGAACATTGTTTTCCTTCTTTCCAGTGTGTGCGGGTCTTAAACTTGTGACCCCTGCCTCATTACCACTGTGCTATCTGGAAAGTGCTACATAATGTTCTTGGCAAGTGCCATTAGGTCTGTCTTTTGTGTGCAAATGAGTATGATCCAAGAATATGAACAATTGATGGCTCAGGAACAAAGAATGCTGGGGTGGAGTGGTAGAGAAGGAGAGAAAGAACTGATAAATCCCAGCATGCCTGAGTGAGCTTGTCACAGGATGATGAAGTTTATTTTTAGCTAAAGTCACTTTTTCCAGAAACTTTCACTGTTTTGATAAAGCTAGATAGCTATCATCAGAGGCAAGGCCCTTGTCACCTAGAAAGCAACTGGATCCTGAACATTAGTTTTTCTATTTCTTCCTTATAACTATTTCCCTTAAAGCTTTCTGATCTTATCTAGCAGTTACAGAACTCTGGACAAGCACTCAGCCACGCCAGCCTGTTGAAAGAGAAGGCTGAGCTGTCTAAGCCCCTTTCTGCTGGATGTTCATCAGGGTCCTCTGCACTCACCCACTCTAAAGCTCAGCCTCTTGTCACCAGTGTAGATGGTATTATCCTCTCTGCTGTGGAGGGTCAGGACAAGTAGATTTCCCCATTTAGGGCCCAGGTATATAAGAGAGAAGTGTAAATACACATATAGGTAGTGCTGTTGTGGTGAGTGTAAATTTTAGCTTGAGAGTTAAAGCTACTCAAGTGGCCAAACCTATAATCCAGTAAAAATTCAAATGGTTATTGTAATATAGTTATTCCTGAGGTGGGTGAGTACTCTGAGGGAGACGCTGGAAGCTACCCGCACACCAGTGTCTCTTTTTTTCTCTGCCTTGTCAGCTCCCAGCTGTGTACCACCTCAGGCCCCTGGCTAGCCGAGGGGCGATGGCAGGAGAAGAAAGTGCAAAAAAGGAGACTAAATGCATTGTGGTATCTTGCATTTCATCCTGGTACAGAACAAGGACTCTGGTGAAATCTGAATCAAGTCTGGAGTTTAGTTAATAGTAGTGTACCAATGTTGGTTTCTTAGTTTTGACAAATGGCAGTGCAAAACTGGAAACTGAGTAAAAGGTATATGGGAACTCTCTGTCTTTGTAACTTTTCTGTAAATCTAAAATTATTCCAAAATAGTTAATTGGGGAAAAAAAAAACTTTTCTGTAAATCTAAAATTATTCCAAAATAGTTAATTGGGGGAAAAAAAAAAAAAGGGGAGAGCCTGGGAGGAAGGAGAGAAGGGAAGCAGAGGCTATGGTCTAGAAAGGGAAGCACTGTAGCTGGGAAGGGGTGATGTTAGAGGCCCCCAGACTTTGATTGGACAGGAAGACCTGAGACTAGTGGTCAGGCTGACTGGATTCTCATTACCTTTGTTGGCTGGGAACAGGTTGCTTTGTGTCTTGGTGTCTCTTTTTCCCTATCTGTAATGTAGGGGATACAGCGTCTTTTCTGCTCAGTAGGACTCTTGTATGTCAGGATGTGGTGAAAATGCTGAGAGATAAAAAATGCACACTCAGCTGCCCATTAAGATGTTTTTATTAGGATTCTGAACTAGGCCTGGTGGTACAAAAGGCATCGGGTATTTGAGGTGGGGATGGACAGCTCCAGGGGTGACGATCACTGAGAATACATTTCCTGGGTATTATGGCCGTGGTGAGAACTCTGTATTGTGTTCAGAGTTCTTTCTTCTCCTTCCTGCCCCTCATTGAGCCATTTTTTTCCCCTTCCTCCTCATCCTCCACTTGCTTTTGCAGAAACCACTGGTAAAGGATCGGGAAGCTGAGCTTCTGTACTTTGCTGACGTCTGTGCAGGCCCAGGTGGCTTCTCCGAGTATGTGCTGTGGAGGAAGAAGTGGCACGCAAAGGGCTTTGGAATGACTCTGAAGGGCCCTAATGACTTTAAGCTAGAGGACTTCTACTCAGCCTCCAGTGAACTCTTCGAACCTTACTATGGTAGGGACACAGAGGAGGGTACTAGCGGCTATGAGGGACAGTCCTGTGTGGGGAATTTAGGTTGGAAGCAGCTGTTGTCCACTTGCCATGTTTTCTTTCCTAGGTCTCTCAGCCTGGGGTTCCCAGTCCATGTCATATAGGTCTCGGTTCCCATTAGACTGTCCCTTTTTACCCTAGGCCCGTGGGATACACATTAAACATTCCACTAGGCAAACTTATCCAAGACTCCTTTATATTAATTCCTCCTTTTTTTCTCTTGTGGTGACAGGAAATAATGAAACTGCTTGATCTCCGGCAGAGAACTGTCAGGGTTATTAACATCCAGACCCCACTCTTATCTCCAGCCCAGTGTGGGGGTATGGACTGCACTGGTAACAGACAGCTCAGCAACCCCACAGTAGTCCTCTCTGTTCTGTCTTCATTGTGATTTGGCACCAAATCCTAAGTTCTTTCTTAACATTCCTTACTAAAAGTCGATACTGATTTCAAAATGTAGATGCTTTAAACACAGCTTTGGTTGTGAAGAAGAAGACCTGTGTTTCAGTTGATGACTCTTGGCTGGTCAGTTCCTTTTGACCTCTGGTTTATTCCAGCAGGGCCCTGTTTCTGCCCTTGGTCCATCACTGCAAGGCAGCCTTGCAGAAGGGTTCCTGCAGTACGTTGCTTCTCACAGGGACTTTTCTCCTGGGCCTTAAGACCCACTTCATACCTGTGTTCACAGCCCCAGAGAGCTCGTGTCCCAGCTCTTGGAATGTACAGGGCAGATGAGCTAAATGTGAATCTTGTATTCTGCCAGGTGAGGGTGGGATTGATGGAGATGGAGACATCACCCGCCCAGAGAACATCACTGCTTTTCGGAATTTTGTCCTGGATAACACAGATCGCAAGGGTGTCCACTTTCTGATGGCTGATGGGGTAGGTGATCTGCTCTCCATAGGGTGATGCTATAGGGACATATCACATTAGACGCTTGAGACTTGTTTTATTTAGTCCTTGAGCTGCCCTGGAAGGTACTAACTAGCTCACTATTCAGATAGTAGGGGATATGTGATATATGTTTTTATTCTTTTGTATACATATTTTCAGTCATAACTTTGTCAAGGCAGTGATGTTGTAGACACCTTTGTTTGGAGCAAGTTGCTCTTCTCAGTTCACTTCAAAGGGCCTCAGCTGACTGAGACACTGTGAGGTGGGAGAAACATGACTAAGATGAACTAGGCAGAACTAACCAGGAAGAACATTTCCATCATTTGTCACCTGGGTGCTGCTCCTGGCAGATGTTGTCTATACATGACTACTCCTAAGCCTCTGGCAGATGACCACAAAACCAGAGGCAGCAGCTCAGGGGAATCCACAGGAGGCTCTGTCAGCAGCTGGGCTAAAGTGAATATTCTTGGAACCCAGTTCCTTGGGCACCTACTTGAGGCACAGAGGGGAGCCCACTGCAGCTTTCTCAGCCAGTAATCTAATGTGTCACGTAGTCTTTTCCTGAGTGAGCCACCACTTAGAGGAGGGACAGAGAACATGACAGTTGCTCCAGGATCACATGACTAGAGTTAAGAAAGGCCTTTGGAGCTCCTTGGGTGGACTTCCAAGCAGTGTTAGAGTATGGAGAGGTGATGGAATGTGCAGGATGTCAGCATAGGCTCTGAAGATGCCCTGGCTCACCAAAGCTTTGTGCACAGTAGGGAACAACAGATAGACAGGCTGTGGGGAGGAGGTATGGTGAAGGGGCTGTTCCAGCTGAGCAGGTATGGGGGTCTGATAATACTTGAGAGGCAGCTGTTGCAATGTGGCAGCTAGAGTGGCAAACTCAAGGATTGTCTTTCTGCTTAGGCAATACAGACTGGTGACTGGGCTGCTTTTTTTCTTTTTTGAATTGACCCTTTAAACAGGCATGCATTTTGAGAAGCATCTATAAATCTTGAAGATATTGCTAAACATTTTAAATTCTGAGTCATTTAGCTGTTACCTTCACAGGACTGAGGCTTGGCTTGGCTGGGGCCAGCTTAATGGAGACCAACCTCATTTACTTTTTTAAAGTCATTATTGTGATTAAAAAAAAAATGTAAATTTTATAATCTCAACCATTTTTAAGTATACAGTTCAGTAGTGTTAAATATATTCACATTGTTTTGAAACAGATCTTCAGAATGTTTTTCATTTTACAAAATCGAAGCTCTTTGCCCATTAAGCAACTCCCCTCTCCCATCCCCCAGCCCCTGGTCTCCATTCCTTCTTGGTGAGCTTGGCACTCTGCTCCCTGTTGGGATCTCAGGGAAAGA